CGCAAATGGCGAAACTCACGAGATCCGGCAGATAAAGCTGCGCTCAATCGACTCACTCAGAACCTAAAAAGAAAAATAAGAAAAATCAAGGAAGATTCATTTGAGAATTACATTAAAAATTTGTCAGCCGAACAAGAAAGTAATAATTCCTTATGGAGGGCTGCAAAAATATTAAAAAGCCAATTTTACATGTCCCCCCTATTAGGGGAACTATGACAATGGGAAATAGAAAATATGGATAAAGCTGAAATACTTGCGGATCATCTTGAACAAAGTTTTAGGCCAAATGATAAACATAAATACTGCAATGGGAAATGTAAGAGCAGAAAACGTTATCGCTCCATTTGCACAAAAAGAAATAGTGGAAGAAATAAAAAGTTTAAAGTCAAGGAAAGCACCAGGTTATGATTTAATTACCTCTGAAATACTGAAGCAATTACCGTAAAAGGGTGTAAAAATGTTGATTTTTTTAACGAATTTTGCATTAAGGTGACAGAAGTTATAATGATACCAAATCCTGGAAAACCTTTAAATGAGATCAAGTCTTATAGACCAATTTCTCTGCTACCAATTTTGACCAATTTTGTCGAATTGCGTTTAGAGAAATAAGAGCAGGTGTGCCTCAGGGCAGTATTTTGGGTCCAATACTATATCTACTCTTTACAAGAAATGTGCCTCAAATAGAAAACGCAATTGTGGCTGCATATGCTGACGATACTGGAATTATGGCAAATATTGACGACGCCGCAGGAAAGTTGCAGCAGGCAAGCAATAGTTTTGATAAAGAAATGGAAAATAAAAGTAAATTAAACTAAGTCTGCACAAGTAAATTTTACAAATAATGTTGTTGTAAACCCCCACGTTTTAATTTAAATGGGGTAAATGTTGCGTAGAAAAATGCGGCGAAATACTCGTATGTAGGACTGACACTGGATATTAAGCTAAAATGGAAGGAATAGGTTAAGAAGAGGCAGAATTAGAATTAAAATATAAAGAAATGTATTAACTACTAGGTCGCAAGTCAAGATTGCCAATACAGAATAAGATCCTGCTCTATAACCAAATTATTAAACCAGTTTGGTTGTATGGTATAAAGTTGTGGGGACGTGCCAAACAAATCCATGTCCAGAGAATACAAACGTTCCAGAATAGTGTTTTGCGGACTATGGTGGATGCACCTTGGTATATGCGAAATGGAGATTTGCAGATAGATCTAAAGATTCCATGTGTAATTGACGAAATTAAAGAAAGGGCGGGGAGACATAGAGCTCGTTGGGGGCAACATGTCAACGTAGATGCCTCTTATTATCCGGGATTCTCCTGCAAGAGTTAAGAGGACCTTGCCTTCTGATTTAGCGCAAAAAGCGCTTCATCAAATCAGGGAGCGTTACATCTCTTTCAATCTATATTAAAGAAAATTTGATGGTTGGTCTTTGTAATTTGAGGAGTGTATCAGAATATGAGGAGGAGATTTTTGTGATAAAATACATAACTAACTATGGATTTCCAGGGAATGGCATAATAGTAGCATTCATGTTTTCCTCATTCCTTCGATGAAAAAAAAAAAAGATTGAACACAAATGTGAAGTTTAGTTAATTTGTTAAAAAGAACATAGTTTTGGTGTCATTTCGTATCCAAAATTCAAAAGATTAATAAAACGTCACGGCAACAATGTTTCAAATTGAATAATAGTTTGTTTCCATCATCGTCATCAACAAAAAGTGTACTGCAAGTGACACCCAAAGTAGTACAAAAAATAAAAAAAAAAAATATGTTCATTTTCAAGTGCCGTAAGGTTTTGTAATATAAAAATATGTATATTTAATTCCAATTTATGAAATAAATTTATTTTAACAGAAAAAAAACTAATGAATTCTGCTTAAATTTAATTTTTTACAGATATTTCAAATGAAAAAACTTTTTAAAAATATTTTATAAAATATATTTTACTTTTGAAAATTTTTTCATAAGAGCAAAATTATAGTCTCTCTGCGTGGTGGCCTTACTAGGGTATTCTAACCAGGGGAGTGATTTGATTTATAATCTAAATTCAGTTATTCAAAAGAACTTATAGAATTGTTTCAAATAAAGTCAAATCTAGTTCAAATCTAGTTTATATTTGGTGCTTGAAAAATTGATTTCTTTTTCCCTCATATTCATTATCAGGTAAACAACAGTAATATATTAACAAACCGGCTTTGCATGTGCTTGTATGACATACATATTTTAATTTTAAACGCTAAAAATTTTACATGAGCGGGAAAGATTCAAGTAAGTACCTGTTATTTTAACATCGAAATTTCCAAGTCATTTGTTGCAATACAGTACTTATTTAAAACATAGAAAAATATTCAAATTTGGTCGTAAACATAGGCGATTGTTTTTCCAAAACCTTTTAGAGATTTTGTTTGCTTCATGGCGATTCCATAAATTTTTGAAATTTTTCAAATGTTGTTCAATTAACTTAACCTATGAGAAAAAAAGTCTTCATTTAAAAATAATGAAAAGCTTTCAATACCATATAAAATATTGAAGGCGTAGGTTGGGCTTGCGTTTTTTCCGCTTTTTTGCATGTATTTTAAGAATTTTAAAACAATTGTAATTTTTTAAATAAATTCTCGGAATTTTAACTGTTTTATAATTAGTATGAATGTGTCTTGTTATTCCTTCTCATTTGTTTTGTTATTCCTCGCCATTTCAATTTAAAAAAAAAACCCATATAAAAGGTCTGTCTGGTATAAAAAAGTTTTTAAAAACTTAATAAAGTTTTTACATGTAAAGCTTCTAGGATAATACTTTTTGAACAAAAATGAGAGAAAATGATGACATTCTAATTTTTTGAATGTTTAAAGTAATGTCTTTACATGTAACAAGTCCCAATACTCAATTTTTTTTACGAAATATTACGAATTTTTGGCTTCGTTCCTGTTTTTTTCCTTAAATGCTACTGATCTTGTCATATTTGTTATTATTTTTTTCTTTTTTTTTTACGTAAAAAGAGTTTAATATTTTAAAAAATCTCAGGATATTATACATATTTTTTAAAAAGCTTCCAATTTAAATTCTATTGCACGAAAAAGAAAGAAAGGTAGCAGGAAAGAAAAAATGAAAAAAAATTTGAAATTCATATTTCAGTATGGTTTCAAATGTTAATGAGGAAGGATGTATGATTTTTCATGCACATTATGTATTTCTCAATAAAGTAAGTTGAGTAGTGTCCGCTAACAAAAATGTTAATAAAAGTAATATAGGTTGACACATTTCAACAATTTGAATTATCTCATTTCGATTAATTATACGTTACTTATAGAATTGTTTCAAATAATTTCAGTTAGTTTTTAAATTATTAAGAATAAATATGTATGTACCTATTTCCAATCAATTTTTTTTAAATAATTATTTTGAAACTATTTCAAACATGCTATATTGAGTGCTTCAAAAATTTGGCTGTGCTCTTCTTTCATATTTTATTAGCAGGGAAACAACAGCAATCTTTTTATAAAATGACCCTGCCTGTGCATAAATCTTAATATTTACGCAAACGGAAAAAAATTTACGGATATCAGTACCTACTACTCGTCATTTTACAATCGGAGTTTTTGAGTCATTTGCTAAGATACTATTTATTTCAAAAATAAAAAAGATATTTGAATCCGGTCATAAAAATATATTTTTCCAAAATCTTTTAAATTTTTTTTTATTTAGGTAATATATTAAGTTTTAAAAATTTTTCTCACAAATAGAGGTAAAATTTAGAAATATGTATAAAATTTGTATTTAAAAAATAATATTTGATTGTATTTTAGATAAAGTTTTTAAAAGTTTTTTCAAGTTTTTCGTCCGGCTTATTTTTTTTAAATGAGAATTTTTTGCCAGAAATTTCGTCAGGCTTCATTGGTTCGTCGTTTTCAAGCTGAGCTATTTAAAGTCGAACTATGTTTTCTCTTGATTGTTCATTGGTTCGTCTGAAAAAAGCTGATCGTTTTCCTTTTTTTGTTTAATGCGTTTATTACTTTTTGACAAGAATTTTATGTAATTGTAATAGTTCAGTATTTATAAATTTGACGTTTTAAAAAACTTCCGCACTAAAGTTGAAGTTGATTCAATTTTTGAGAGAGAGCAAAAAATGTACTAAAAATAAAATGCTGTACTAAAAATAAATAGAATGTCAAAAATTCAAATTTTCATGTAAAATACATCAGCTCGTCGTTTAACTGACCAAACAATGAATCCAGCTTCATTGTTTCTCTTTTGAAAGTTTTTTCAAGTTTTATCTCAGGCAACCTAAAATAAGATCGTGTTTTCACGTTATTCTCTTACGTTGTTGCTTGTAAGACATAAAGTCATTGTTCCTAGTATCATTATTAAAAAGGAGCTTTTTGTACACGAAATTTACGTACCGGAAGATTTTATCGAGTAGTGGAGCCCCGGAGAAACACGTGAACAGTTCTGTCAAATACTTAACTGAAATTTCTTGATTTTTTCAAAATAAAATCTATATTTCGAAGATTTTGTTAACAAAAAATGCACGAAACCTGCAAGATCTTCATTGAGATTCAATTGGAAAATTCAATTCGAAGTGAGTCAGACAACAAAATGAAAACTACTTTCAGAAATTTTTTCAAATTTTGTTTTTTTTTTTTTGTGAACTAAGCTAGGAAAGTATTAAATCAGTATTGAAATCAGTATTGAAAGTATTAAATCAGTATTGAATACAGTATTGAAAAATTCTTATTCTGGAATTTCAGTAGCACTAAAGAACCTTAATTTTGAAGATATTTTTGCATTTAGAACTTTGAAAATTTTATTTTAAAGTTTCTTTCAAAATATATAACCAATATAACTCTCCTTTTTAGGTAAATCTTCACTTTTGTTAATACTACACGTGAACCAAAAGGGATAAAGAGCTCCATTTGACAGCCTTCCTTATATTTCTATGTCTAGTATGAATTCGTTTGTATTAATTTGGATCGATTCAACCCTGTCAAAGGTTAAATATTTTACATATTAATATATCAAATGTCATACTGTTCTTCTTAATAAACGTGAAATGATTTCACTTTGTAAAGGATTAAGCAGGATTTCGAAAATAATACTTAGGCATAGAATTCCGCAGAAAGAGTTTGAGAAACATTTAAGTATTTTTTCCTAAACCTGTTATATGTTAATGAAAATTATAAACAAACTTGCTTTAGGGAGCCAAATTCGATTCTCTACCTGTGATAATGAGCAGTGGGATTTCGTAGATATGAAACATGCTGAATATGAAAGGGTTTGCACTGAAACTCTAGAAGGTTTATTTGAATATTTTGAAGAATTATTGGATTCTGCAACTTTTGTGGAGTTATCAGATGTTACTTACAATGTAAGAAAAAATAAAAACTTTGAAAAGAAATTATGTATTTCTCGAAATGAGAAGATAGGTAAAGGTAACTATACATAGGTAAACGAATAATTTGAAACTTAAAAAAATTCAGTAAGTTTCTACCTACCTTCAGTAGTATGTATCCTGGCTTGACTTACGATCGTTTTATTTGCGAGCTTTGATATATTTATTGTGCTTTTCGGTCAAACTAGTAAAATCAAATGAGCGTTTTTAATGAAAATGTCAAAATAAATACTTGTACTCTTCGAAAGAAACTGCACTTTCAACATTTGCAAATACTGCTCTTGTAAACCGTTTCATTTCGGTTAAAGCAGAATATTAGCTTTTATTTTTAATTTAATTTGAAAACATTTGTTCTGGTCATTTGTTAAGGAATTGTCATCCTTTTAATAATTCCCGATCAATTCTAAAAAAATATCAATTTATTTTCCAAAAGGATCATTCTATTCATTTTGCAAAGAACTTTTTTTTGACTTTTTAATGAAGTGAAAAATATACTATAATTTGGTACCTATGCCTCAATTAAATAGTTGTATTTAATTTCTATTTTAACAGGTTTTTACTTAGGAGAACCAACAGCAAGGCACAACACTTTTTGCTTCTCTAGAATGTTTTACTAGTACATAATTATATACATAAATTACTATGCGAAAACAAATCTGTCAGAATAATTTTTTTAGCAAATATTCTGTTATTGAAATATTTATAATGGTTAAGAAATTTTTCCGAAACCAATAATTGGTTTCAATCGTGTATGTATATAACTTTAAACAAGTATGTATGTTACTTATATAAAAGAATTTTTGCAACTTTCAGGGTTATGTACGTTAAAGACCCATCTGATAAAGGGACTTTAACATACATATTCCTACATTCACCACCTTTAAAAAAAGTCATCCTTCTCGGATATATGTACGTGAATTTCTTCATATACGAAGAATGTATATTCGTGTTTTATGTTATCGCAACTTTTTGCATTCTTCAACTCTTCTGGAATAATCAGTTTTCTGATAATATACATATTTACACCAAATATATTTCAAGAAATATACCTACATACATATGCAATTTCATAATAAACAATATCAAAATCATCCAATAAATTTCTTAGGTATACCTCTTCTCCCGAAAAATGTACTCTGGTTCAGCCGAAGATAACGCGTTTCTGTTTTATCAATACCTTTTCTATTTGAACTGCGAGTAACATCTCATTAATAGGTTTATAAACTTTTTGAATGTTTATTCTCATTTCCTCAGGATTTAAAGTTTTATTAAGTAAAATTTTGTGTTTTAAAAACTAATGCCATATATATCTACAGACCATCAAGCTCAGAGAGCAAATCAAAAATAAATTCCAAATTTATATGGAATTTTAATGGAAGGGGTGCCAAAATTTATTTGTTTGAAAGAAAGTATTCAATATTTTTGACCAATTACTCTACTGATTCTAGATATTTTTTTAAATTTAAAATATTAATTTCAAAAAAATCCATTGGTAAATTCCATCTGAAAAATGCACTTAAAAAATAAAAAAAATTGCAATTTTTAGCGAAGACAACCTTTCTTGTCTTCCAAGCAGAAGGGTGCTGAATTACAGAGTAAAATTTTTGAATAAAAAATAGAATTTAAAAATAAATTGAAGAAAAAAGCAAAAAAATAATAATTATAATTTATATGGCTTTTAAAACTATACTAAACTATTTGCGTGTGCTTGCATTGAAAGCCTTGCAAGAATTATGCCTGTTGTTTTGAAATTATGTTCCATTCTGTAGCTGAGATATTTCAGGTTCACTTTATTTCTTCAAAAACACACCAGTAACATACATATAAATATATTTTTTCCTAATAAATAATAATATAAAACTTAAAATAAGAAAAGTTCTGAAAAATAATTACCCAAAAATACATAAAACAAATAATTAGTTCCTTTGAGATCTAATACCTTTTGAGTAATTTATTTTAAAACTTCACTTTGAGTGAGTTGAGAAAAAATTTTAAGAGGGAATTAGAAAATAATATCTAAAATACAATCAAATATTATTTTTTAAATACAAATTTTAATACACTTCCAAATTTTACCTCTATTTGTAAACAATTTTGTTACCTAAGTAAAAAAATATTTAAAAGGTTTTGGAAAAGACAATAATATATTTTATGACCGGATTCGAATATCTTTTTTATTTTTTAAATAAATAGTATCTTAGCAACTGACTCAAAAACTTCGATTGAAAAACGACAGGTAGAAGGTACTGATGTAAATTTTTGTCCGTTTGCGTTTACTATTAAGATTCATAAACAGGCAGGGCCATTTTATAAATAAGTTTCTCTTCTTTACCTGCTAATAAAATGTGAAAGAAGAACACAACAAAATTTTGAAGCACTCAATATAATATGTTCGAAATGGTTCTAAAATAATTATTTAAAAAAAAAAATTGATTGGAAGTAGATACATACATATTTATTTTTAATAACTTAAAAACTAACTGAAATTATTTGAAACAATTTTATAAGTAACGTATAAATAACCGAAATGAGATAATTCAAATTGTTGAAATGTGTCAACCTATATTACTTTTATTAACATTTTTGTTAGCCGACACTACTCAACTTACCTTATTGGGAAATACAAAATGTGCATGAAAAATCATACATCCTTCCTCATTAAGATTTGAAACCATACTGAAATATGAATTTGAAATTTTTTATCATTTTTTCTTTCCTCCTACCTTTCTTTCTTTTTCGTGCAATAGAATTTAAATGGGAAGCTTTTTAAAAAATGTGTATAATATCCTGAGATTTTTTAAAATATTAAACTCTTTTTTTACGTAAAAAAAAAGAAAAAAATAATAAAAAATATGACACGATCAGTGGCATTTAAAGAAAAAACCAGCAACGAAGCCAAAAATTCGTAATATTTCGTAAAAAAAATTGAGTATTGGGACTTGTTAGATATAAAGACATTAGTACAGTTATAACAATTTTTTTTGTTTGTTTTGTTTTGTTTATTCTGAGTAATTCTTGTTGTATACCGATATCTACCACAACGAGTCATTTGACCCGCTATGGTAGAAATAGGTATATATTAAGTCTTGGTATGATTAGTGTTAAAAATATAAAAAAAAAATTTAGAGAGAATTTCTTCTCTTTTTAAAAGAAATTTCGCCATTGTTTCTCTTTTAAAAGTTTTTGCAAGTTTTACCCCAGACAGACCTATTATGTATAAGTTTCATTGAAAATTTCTACTCATTCTGCTACAAACATATACATATCTATATACTTATATTTTTTTTAATATAAAAGCAGAACGAGACTTCACATGGCGTTCGATTGAATATATGTACATACATATGTTTATACTATTACTAACTCCTATTTTTCTATTTTATATTTCTAGGGTTTTTCTATCACTTCATGATGTCTACATTTTTGGCAAAAAAAGTTATGAATGCAGTATTAGTTAAAATTTTAAGCACTTTCTAATGCGAGAACAAAAAATTTAAATTTTGCAGTACTTTTAAAATTCTTTGAAGAACATTATAAATAATCATTTGTTCCAAAATTTTTATGACCAAATTAGATATTCAGTTATTCTCGAGATCAAAATATTTTCTAAGAAGGGGTTGAAATATAAATATGTCATGTTATACACTTTTGAAATGAAGATGTGTTCTAGTTTTTTTACCGTTTTATTTCATGTTGAACATGAAACATCTGCTCATATTCACTTCCACATTTCATATTTAAATATTCAAGTTGGTTACCTCATATAAGTGAAACGCATATTTAAAAACATTCAAAGCTAGATAAGTAAACTTATTCAGTTCTGATTGATCCCAATTGCAATTGGGAAAAGTGTATATCTTATTTGATATAAAAAAATATGTTGAACTTTTAATACTATACAATATTTAGTAGCAACATTTTAAAATGCTCACTTTTTAAACCTTCTTCAATTAACTTTCACTAGTTCATGTTTTAGTTAAACACAAATAACGCAAAAAAAATTCAATGGAAACAAAAATGTTTTTGAAGAGTTATGTGAAATATGAATAAAATAAAGGATTATAAAGGCACATTCAAGGTACTGCGTAGCCTAGTGGGTAGCGTGGTAGTTTCATAACCAGAAGGTTATTGGATCAATGCTTGCCTGGATATTGTCGTATTTTTCTTTTTGGGATTGTTTTAGAAATTTTTTTTTATTTTGTTTAAGTTTTTGCTTTATGTTTGTATGTACATATGAATATATTAGAATTGAAAATTTTAAAATTAATTTTATTTTTCGTTCAAATAATTAAAAATAAAATTTTAAGTTCAAAACTACATAATTATGAATGTATACCTATTTTTTTTAAACTGTGGGTGAACATATAAAATTAAATTTTTCAAATAAAGAAAAGGTTTAGGTAGGAACGAAATAATAATTGTATTCAAATACATGTATGTACATATGAATGTAATTTTTCAAATAAAGAAAAGGTTTAGGCGAAAACAAAATAATAATTTTATTCAAATATGTGTATGTACATATGAATGGATTAGAATTTAGCATTTTACAGTTTTTCGCTCGAACAATAAAAATAAAATTTTAGGTAGATACATACGTACATAAATTCTGTATGTATATTTTTTTAAAGCTTGCTGACAAAACAGCACATAGTGACACGTTCAGTGGGAAGGCACTTCTCCATGCTAGGGAAGTGGAAATAAACTATTTTTAGCAACCTGTCGGTCTGTATGTGCACGCGTGTATCTCAAGTTCGGCTGAATCGATTTTGATGAAATTTTTTATGTAAGTTTATTTCGATCATGGCACGGATTGATCATCAAGCCTTGGGGACTGTATTTTTTAGCGAGAGTGTTTTACATTTTTGGTTATTATGAAGAAAATATTCGACAGATTTACTTGAAATTTCATGTATTAGCGTCGTTTGACCGTACACGAAACCTAAATTTTGGAAGAAATCAGGTGTCAGACTCTG